AGTAGAGACAGGGTTTCACTATGTTGACCAGGATGGTCTCGATCTCTTGACCTCATGATCCACCTGCCTTGGCCACCCAAAGTGCTGGGATTATAGGCGTGAGCCACTGTGCCTGACCATGTCCTTCCTTTTTAAGGCTGGGTGATATTCCATTGTATGCATGGACCATGTTTTGCTTACTCATTCATCTGGTGTTCTCAAATACCAAGACTCAGTGATTTCAGCAGTGCCTGCAAGCTCCCGTGAATGAAAAACCTTCCTAACCGCAATCTGTACCTAGGCTCTGACCCCCGCATCAGACAGTCCTGCAGGATAAGGCGTCTGTTTAAAATGCAAATGTATTACCTTGCGGGGAGTGAGTAACTAGCATCTTGGGGCCCTGCTTCCATTGTCCTTATGAAGGATGGAGGTTGTGTTATCCTGGAAGCTGGGTCCACGGCGTGTCCTGAGAGCCCACTGCGTGCCGTGCTCTGGGCTGGGCACTCAACATTCATGGTTATGTTCAGTCCTTCCAAAGGCCCTGGCATTTTTACAGTCTTATCGATAAACACCACGTGCGGAAACAGGTGCAGAGAGGTGAGTGGGACATACCTGGGGTCTCATGGCCAGCATGGGTGGGGCCCCGCTGGCCTGCTGCTTCAAAGCCATCATACCACACCCCCCTGCTGCTCCATCGCCTGCCACAGTGGAGGCTGGGTGCCCAGAGCTGCAGGTGTTCAAGGTGTGAGGTGACTGTGATGTTAAAAGAGGACATAGTTTAGTTGGAAGAAGCAAGTCCTTCTTTGTGGGTTCCTGCCCCAGTCTTAAAATGTAAGTTTAATTATTCAGGTAGTGAAGCCAACAGATCAGGAGAAGTCTGACTTGAAGAGATGGTGTGTTAATTCAGATTTACCTCTGCGTCTGTTTCATCAAGAAGGAGGTGGAGCTCCGGGCATACTGGCCTGGCTACTTTTGTGGCATGTGATCAGGGACTGCTCCCTGTGGCCCTCCACCAGGGCCATGAAAGCTGCCAGGGCCCTGCCTCCACGGATGTATCTTGGGGCTGGAACCTGGGGTCCCACGTGCAGCAGGGGCCGAGGCCGTGGACTTTGGAAGAAGTGTGACATTAGAGAAGCAAGGGGGTTGGCCCCCGGCATTTTGTGGGTGGATATTCCTCCCTGGTGGGTGTGACTGAAAGGCCTGGAGGGTCTCACTGGTGCAGGGAGGCAAGGGATCATTTCTTGTTCTGGGATTGTCTCTAGTCACTGGGCATTCCAGACCTTGTAACTGTCCAGGAGTCCCTTGAGACGGAAGGTCGCGGTATTTCTGACTTGAAGCCTCTGGCTCTCTCTGTTAGATTTTGTTGTATGTCCCAGCAGTCCTGACCTGGATGTTCCATCAGATTTCTGTCCCTGTGAATGTGGCTGTCACCAGTGACCCCACTTTGAACTCCAAGCTCACCTGTGTGCATGACCGGAGGGGGTTAGCCTCTCGAGTCCGTGGCTCAGGACGCAGTCCTGCCGCAGAGGGAGGGCAGCCCCACCCTCTCACGCCCCATCGCTGTGGTCTGTGCTTTGTCTGCCTCGGCAGCCTTGGTCAGATCTGGAAGCATCTGGAAGCTTTAGTGTCTTAGTTATGAGTTTCAAAGAGCAGTGAAAACAGACTGGCAGGGCTCCATGAGAATTGGGAAATATTTGGGGTGGGGAGGAACTGCAGAATGTATTCTTGATTTGGTGCATTTTTCCCTCTGACTCTTTCTGGGCAACAGACCTTTAGGAATGTCTGTTAAATGCCGAAAAAGCAGGAACTGATTTCTCTCTGCATCCACAGCCGACACATGAGGCCGTGGCGCTCCGTGTCTGCTAACCTGGTTTTTCTTTCCTTTTGCTCAACAGTGAGTGACCTGCAGGAAGAAGGGAAGAATGCCATCAACTCGCCGATGTCCCCTGCCCTGGCGGATGTTCACCCTGAAGACACCCAGCTCGGTAAGGGCGGCCCCTCCTCTCCCTGCCCTGAAACAGCTGAGCGTCTATGGCACAAAGTTGGTCTTGGGGAGGCCAGTGAGGAGCCCCATAGATGTGCCCTCTTGATCAGATGCTGGGGGTATTTGGGAGTCTAAGTCCTTAGCTCAAGGTGGTGTTTGGAAAAGTCCACTGGGAAAAGCAAGTCGTTTGTGGGTTTCTGCCCAGTCGTAAAACCTAAGTTTTATTATTCAGGTGGTAAAGCCAGCAGATCGGGAGAAGACTGACTTGAAAAGATAGTTTGTTAAATTCAGTTCTGAAAGCAGGTGTAGCAGGCCACTCAGGGCTATGCCATGCCACGCCACACCATGCCACGGAAGGCCACGTGGAAAGCATCAGGCAGAGGCAGAAGGAGCAGGGCCAATGTCTTTATTTTGTATTATATATATACACGTATTTTTAGATAGAGTCTCAGGCCGGGTGCGGTGGCTCACGCCTGTAATCCCAGGACTTTGGGAGGCCAAGGTGGGTGGATCACAAGGTAGGGAGATCGAGACCATCCTGGCCAACATGGTAAAACCCCATCTCTACTAAAAATACAAAAATCAGCTGGGTGTGGTGCTGTGTGCCTGTAATCCCAGCTACTTGGGAGGCTGAGGCAGGAGAATCGCTTGAACTTGGGAGGCAGAGGTTGCAGTGAGCCGAGATTGTGCCACTGCACTCCAGCCTGGCAACAGAGCGAGACTCCATCTAAAAAAAAGAAAAATAGAGAGATAGAGTCTCACTCTGTCACCCAAGCTGGAGTGCAGTGATGTGATCATGGCTCACTGCAGCCTTGACCTTCCAGGTTCAAGTGATCCTTCTGCCTTAGCCTCCTGAGTAGCTGGGACTACAGGGGTGTGCCATCACAGCCACCTAACTTTGTGAATTTTCTGTAGAGATGGAGTCTTGCCATGTTGCTCAGGCTGGTCTCTAACTCCTGGGCTCAGGCAATTCTCCTGTCTTGGTCTTACAATGTGCCAGAATTACAGGTGTGAGCCACTGCGCCTGGCCCCAACACCCTTACTGTGGCTTTCTCTGAAGGAATGGGCAAGACTGGGTGAACAGGCCTGGGCCTGACTGGCTGGAATCATTTCAGTGGGCTCTGGGGTACAGGGACTATCCTGAGTCTTCTGGTACCTGGTCCTGGGGAGATGAGGGTAAGGACATTGGCTGGGAGTGTAGGAGCCACATAAGAGCCAAGAAAAGAGGTGGCTGGGGGCTCCGGGGGCTTGGGCTCTGAGTGGGTTTACATATGGAAGGTGCGGTCACAGAGGGTGGTTTACCAGCTCTAAGAATTAGCTCGCCCTGGAGGTGTGGCCTCTCCAGAGTCAGCAAGGCCCCAAGATGCCAAGTACCAGAAGATACAGAAAACAGGACGGACACTGTGGCTCACGCCTGTAATCCCAGCACTTTGGGAAGTTGAGGCAGGTGGATCACCTGAGGTCAGGAGTTCTAGACCAGTCTGGCCAACAGGGCGGAATCTTGTCTCTAATAAAAATACAAAAAATTAGCTAGTGTGGTGGGGGGGCGCCTATAATCCCAGCTACTTGGGAGGCTGAGGCAGGAGAATTGCTTGAACCCGCGAGGGAGGTGGAGGGTGCAGTGAGCTGAGATTGCACCACTGCACTCCAGCCCGGGTGACAGAGACCATCACCAGGTGGCTGGGAGACCCCTGCAGGATCCGCAGACACAGCCACCTGCCTGGGGCCCTCTCAGGCCCACTGTCCTCCTCCAGGTGGGGTCAGGAATGAAACCTACCCCAAAGGGACAATTAGAGGCCAGAGATGCCTCTGAGACAGTGTTTGGTGACGCCAAGCCTCGAAATGGCATCTCTGTCCCCCTCCACCCTTCACAGTCTCTGGTTCAGATGCTCCATTCCCCTTGGTGGCCGACTGAGGCAGGACCCCTCCAGGAGCCCGCAGCCCTGGGACATCAGAGCAGGCATGGCATGCTGCCCAGTCCAGGGGTTGCTGGGGGGTCGGACGTGGGCTCAGAGCCTTCAGCAAGGAGCACGAAGTTCCCCTTGAGGTCCACATGACCTGGCTGGGTCTGAATCTTGATTCTTCTCTGTTCAGCGAGAGCAAGGAGTGGGGATACAGGGCGATGCTGGGATGATACAGGGCAGGCAAATACAGGGGTGTTCCCTGAAATGGCCTCTCTGAAGGCTGGGATTGGGTAGTGACCTACTCACTCTCCATCCTGCACCTTCCCCATACGTGTGTGGACTCACGGCCTGGCCCTGCTCCTTGCCCGCCTGAGATGGGTGGTCTGGAGGGGGTCTCAGACATGGGTCACCCAGGTACACCAAGGCTCCTTCGGGTAGGAGAGCTTGGAAGATTTGGCGTTTGGACTCAAGGATCTCAGCTGGGGGGCTGAGGTCTGAAGAGTGAAGGAAACATGGGCCAGGGAGAGAGGGTCAGACAGCGGGAGCAGGTGCCACGGCCCGGGGAAGGTGGCAGCGAGGCTTCAAGGAACAAGGGAAAGCCGGACAGGCTGGAGCAGATTGCACCAGGAGGGTGGGAAAGGAGGCTGGAGAGGGTCCTTGGAGGCCGTCTGGAGGCTGCCAGCCTTGATCCCAGCAGGAGTGGGAGGCTGTGGAGGCCTTCGAAGAGACATCACCAGGACTCCTGAGTGCTCCCTGCACATTACCTGGAGTGTCCTTCCCAAGCATCAGATCTGCAGGACTTCAAAAATAGTTTCTCCACATTGTCAGAGTTCAGACGCTGCCGCTGGGAAGTGACATCACATCCGTGTCAGCAGCAAAGTTTCACTCAATTGGATGTCAAGAAAGATTCGCTCAAAGCCATTTTCTTTCTTTCTTTTGTATTTTATTTTATTATTTATTTTTAAAAATAGAGACGGGGATTTCACCAGCCCAGGCTGGTCTGGAACTCCTGGGCTCAAGCCGTCTTCCCACCTTAGCCTCCCAAAGTGCTGGGATTACAGGCATGAGCCACTACACCCAGCTTCAATGCTGTTTTCATTTTGACCAACACAGTCAGTATGTCCAGCCCAGTGGGAGCCCGTCTGGGCCCTGGGACCTGGTCTCTACTGTGTCCTGGCTGTTTCCACATGTATGTCCTTGGGGTACCTGGCTTCTGCCTGGAGCCCTCTTGTGCCCTTTCTCCTCTTGAAGAGAGAAGCGTGGTGGAGAGCCTCGTGGTGAGTGGACCCTGGGCCCCACCCATCCCATGCTCTGCCCAGATCCCGGAGCTGGACAGCGTGGGCAGCCTGAGACCCCCTTGCCCTTCCCTGAGTGTGTTCAGAGGTGCTTGGAGCCCGCTGGCTTCTGTGTGGCGCTAGGCATTTCTGCCACGGAGCATGCCTGGCCTCTGGGGGTGTCCCCTCCACAGTCCCGCCTCCCCCGCCACCACCTCCATGGCACCGTCCTCTGTGAGGGGCCCAGCTGGCTGCCTGGTGTCCGTGGGATCCAGGCTGAGACATGGAGGGAAAGCAAACAGGTAGAGAAATAGAAAGAGGATGAGGATGAGCACATTTCGCTAATAAACATTATCCCGCCCCCTTTTTTTTTTTGCCATTTCTTTCCCAATATGTTTTCTGCATGTTATTTTACATACAACCTTGCATGTTGATTCTTTTCCACTCAATGTACCGAATGTTTTCCATCTCGTAACCATCCCAATTCTTCGCATGTATTTATAAATAGTGGCACTGGGGAGCTGCCTGGTGCCTGAAGCTTTCCCACATGTCAGATTCCAGGCAGGGGACGCATCTCATGCCCCTGTGAATGCCACTCTCTCATTATTTCTCCTGCAAAGTGGAAATGGTTTGGACCGGTTGTTGGTGAAGTCTGGGAGAGGCAAGGCTGGGCAGAACGATGGAGTTTGACTTCATCCCTTTACAGAAGAGGGGAGGATGCCCCATCCACCTTCCAGAAGGTGGTTCTTGCAGTCACACAACCCCCAACTCCGTAGTGCTGGGCTCTCTGCTTCTTCATTTGACAGAGATGCGTCCGGCCTCCCCCTGGCTTCCCGAATTCCTGCTAACCCTATAATCGCTGACCGTGACTTCCTTTTGTCCCTGGCAGAGGAGAACGAGGAGCGCACGATGATTGACCCCACCTCCAAGGATGACCCCAAGTTCAAGGAACTGGTCAAGGTAAGGAGCTCCATCTCAGTTAGAATCTTCTCCTTAGGTGAGGGCTTGGCTTTGGGGTTCAGGGCTCTCGTGGATGAAGGGAGCTAAACCCGGGAGCTCCTGAAAGGGATGCTGGTGCAGCGTGAGAAGGTGGACGGATGTGTTGGCAGAGCAGGATGGCAGGGAGGATCTGTCCGGCAGTGCCCAGTGCCTCCTGTGTGCCCTGCTCGGCTGGGGCTTTAGCAGCCAGGCTCGTGAGCTCTTTGCTGGACAGAGCTCGGCAGGAGGGGATTTCAGGATTAGGAATGAGTGCTCGTGTGAGCTAGCGCGGCTCCTTACAAATGGAGTTGGAACTCCTTCTGGAGCCTGGTGGGGTCTGGATTCAGACGCAACTCTAAAACGCAGGAGGCGACCCTCCGGCCACTCCTGCCAAGGAGCCAGCTGATGTTGACCCCTGTGCTGGGTGGACATCCGGTTTCCACCACGTCTGGAGGTGTGAATCCCAGCTGCGCAAGGAAACTGGCTGCCCCACTTTCAGAAGTCAGGGAGCATTGAGGGGAGGGGCCCGTGGCTCTGGCCTTGGGCAGCTGCTGTCCTCCTCCAGCGTGACACCTGCTCATCATGGGGCAGTGCTTGTGTGGGTCCAAGTGCAGAGTGCAGTTTTGTTGCTCTGATCTAAACCATGGCAGGGCTTGGGAGGGAGTCCCCTGAAGAGGAGACGCTGTGGGCTCCGCCTGACCCTGGTGGACCCAGGGCTGGCTCTCGGGCAGATGGCCATGGTAGACACTTGGCTTCTGCAGCCCATGGCCAGCTTGGGTGCCCTGGGAGTCTTGAAAATGTTGATTGTGACAGTGTCTGCCAGAAAGAGACATTTTTTCTATTAAAAGGGCTTTTTTAAAAAAGCTTCTCCACCTTAAACACCTCATTGGACTCAATGCTGGGCTGTACAACTGCATTTTCATGAGGGCTCATTCAGAATAAGTAAAATGGCTTGCAAGTTATATTCTTTTAAAATTTACATTGAGGCCTGACGTGGTGGCTCATGCCTGTAATCCCAGCACTTTGAGAGGGCAAGGCAGGTGGATCACCTGAGATCAGGAGCTCAAGACCAGCCTGGCCAACATGGAGAAACCCCGTCTCTACTAAAAATACAAAATCAGCCAGGGGTGGTGCATGCCTGTAATCTCAGCTACTCGGGAGGCTGAGGCAGAAGAATTGCTTGAACCTGGGAGGTGGAAGTTACGATGAGCCAAGATCCCGCCACTGCACTCCAGCCCAGGCACTAAGAGTGCAACTTCATCTAAAAAAAAAAAAAAAAAACCATTAAAAATGTCAGTTTTAGGTCCCACCCAAAGATAGTGTTTCTTAATAACTTAAATTACTTAACTTATTTTATTATTATTTTTTCCTGAATACCTGCTCTGTTATTTTGAACAGAATAATGTCGATGAGGAAATTCGCTGTCTTTTAGCCACCAAAATGTTGTACTTGGCAGATATTTAAGCAAGGGCTGCAAGAGACGTCAGGCCTCTCTAGATAAGCAGACCCAATTGTGTCAATATCTAGAGAGAGGTTGATTATGATATTGGCTCATGTGACTATGGAGGCTGAGAAGTCCCACGACCTGCCATCTGCAGGCTAGGAAGCTGGAGGGCCAGTGGTGTAGATGCCAGCCTGAGTCTGCAGTCCTGAGGAACAGGAGCAGGGTGTGAGAAGGCCCACATGCTGGCTCGTGCAGCCCCCAGCAGAGAGAAGCGACTTCCTGCTTCCTCCACCTTTTTGTTCTATGGGATCAGGTGAGGCCCATCCTCCTCGGAGAGGGCTGTCTGCCTTACTGCATCCACCAATTCAAATGCTCATCTCCTCTGGAAACACCTCTGAGACACACCCAGAAACAATGTTTCACCGGCTACTTGGGCATCCCAAAGCCCAGGCAAGTCGACACAGAAGATGAACCATCCATGCACCTTTCTCAACATTTTTCCTTTGATTTTTGAGCAATGCTGGAGAGTTCACCAACTCCATTCACAGGATTATCTCCTTGAAACAACTCCGTGGGGGGCTGTGTCATCCTTGCTGCCATATGGAGACTCAGCGAGGTGAAGGAGCCGGGGGAGGGGAGGGTGCCGTGGCTCACGGCTGAAATCCCAGTGCTTTGGGATGCCAAGGTGGGGGGTTGCTTGAGCCCAGATGTTTAAGATCAGCCTGAGCAACATGGTGAAACCCTGTCTCTACAAAACAGTACAAAACTTCACTGGGTTTGGTGAGAGGCACCTGTAATCCTAGCTACTCAGGAGGCTGAGGTGGGAGGATTGCTTGAGCCCAGGAGGTCATTACTTGGGCATGTCTGTGAATAGGCACTGCAGTCTAGCCTGGGTGACAGAGCAAGACCCTCTCTCAAAAAAAAAAAAAAAAAAAGAGAGGTTTAAGTAGCTCCCTACTCCCAGGTGCTGGGGTTAGTGATGTGTCTGTGCTTGAATGGCTCTGTCCATTTGGTGTTGCCTTCACTGAGCTGGGTTGAGTGTGGGGTCCTGTGCTCGGCCCTGGGGCTGGGGGATGGATAAGTGACTTCCCTGCTGCGCAGGATTTGATTTACGCTCCTCCCAGATGTATGCAGCGCCACCCACCCCTGCCTCCGAAGACCTCCAGGTTGTTTCAGCCTTGGTGAGGTGAGGGCTGGGCTGCTGTGTATCTGTCAGCCCAGCATGGAGGGGCTGCAGTGTCTGCGGCAGCCAGCGCCAAACTGGAGGGATCTGTGGAGGCTTCAGCTGTTCTCTCTTCCAGGTTCCAGATTGAGAAGAAGGCCACATCGAGGGGCTTGGGGTGGGCTGGCTGTTTGGGAAAGCTAATTAACATTCTGCAGGGCAAAGTAGGACTAAGGACAGGAAGGAGCTGAGGAATAAATGCCTCTCCCCGACTTCCCTGAGGTGTGCTTCTGAGACCATGGCTGGTGGAGATGCGCCGCGTGGCTGAGCACCATCTGGGTTTTCTTCCGAAGCCATAGCCAGCTCATGCACCTGCCTCACCTCCCTTCCCCTCCCTCTTGCTAGTCTGGGATGCCCTTCCCTCACCTCCAAGCCCCTGCCAAAGAAAATGCATCAGCAGTGAGCTTTGCCCTGGCTCTGTTTTGCAGGGAACCTGGGCCAGAATCATGGCCCCCAAAGATAACCATGCGATGATCCCCGGAGCCACTGACTAGAACCTTGCATGGCAAAGGGACATGGCGGGTGGGGTTAACCTTGCAATGAGGAGGTCATCCTGGATGATCCAGGTGGGCCGGTGTGTTCACTTGTGTCCGTAGAAGGACGGGGGAGCTTTGACTGCACATGAACATGGCAGCTTGACCCTGGAAACAAGGTGGCCGCTTCTGGCTCTGAAGATGGAATAAAGGGCCACACACTGATGGATGCAGGTGGCCTCTGCCTCTAGAAGTGGAAAAGACAAAAGAAGTGGAGAATCCAGGAGGAACCCTGGAACCTCTAGAAGAAACTAGCCCTGTAGACGCCAGCCCAGTGAAACAGATTTTGGACTTTGACCTCTAGGACTGCAAGAGAATCCACTGAGCTATTGGAAGCCCCTGGGTTTGTGTTAATTGGTTATAGCAGCCACAGACAACCAACGCGATGCCCTTCTCCAAGCTGCTGCCTCTCCCCCTGCAGCTGGCGGGCCCTGGCCCCTGGGGCCAGGCAGGGTGGGTTTTGGTACGTACAGCAGTGGCAGCATCCTTGGCCGTTTCCTGGTAGGGCTAGCTGCCAGACACTGACATGCCTGTTACGGCAACTGTCCCAGCAGGCTAGAGCACGTGTTTCTGGAGACAGGCAATTTCCCGAAGGCTCCACCTGCTCTCAGGCTGCAGGTTGCGCCTCAAAGCAGGGTGGCAGGCATTTCCCATCTTTGATCAATCATTTCCCAAAATAAGCATAGACACAGCAACCAGGAGAGCAGCATCGGTTCAGCTGTCGCTGGTGTGTCAGTTACTATAGTGGTGGCACAGAGGGGATGTGCACTAAATATTAGTTCTCACCGACGACAGCCTTTTAAACAGGATTGTGGGTGGTGGCAGGTGAGATGGTGGTGCTGAGCTTGGGCTGCGTGTGGTTCATTCTCATTTGTCAGGCATGCAGGGGGCTCTCTGTGTGGCCAGGGTTTTCCCTGAGTCTGAATTTACTCACGTCTGTCGATTCTCCGCACCACCTTCTGGCTTGGGAGGGAGTCCGATGCAGAGTGGCGTGCGTGTGCAGGTAAGGGTGAGCAGGGGAGGGTCAGCCCGCCAGCTACTTCCTGAGCCGGAGGCCAGCACTGTGGCCTGTCCTTGGGCTGCTGCTGAGCTGGGCACCCTCAGACATGCTCTGTCCAGACCCTTCCTGTGTCATTCCCAGCCTCCCCTCCTCCTTCACTGCCCCTGCCACCACGGTCACCTTGCTGTTCTGAGGACACACTGAGTAAGTACCCACTGGGTGTTGGGTGAAAGGAGACAGTCCCCCAAGCCCACCCTCACTTCTGACACCAGTGGCAAGTTCAGGATTTCCAACACTGCCCTGAGGTTTGATCATTTGCCTGAGGGACTCCCAGAGCTCACTTAAAGCTGTCCCACTGCCAGTTACGGTTTCCGATGGTGAAGGGAAACAGATGAAAATCAGCCGAGGGAAGAGTCTCCCAGGGTGGAGTTGAAGGCACCCACACAGCGCCTCCATTGTCCTTTCACCATGGGCTCATGGCAGCGTTACTCTCCTGGTGACGTGGGGCCATGTGCACCCAGTACTGTCAGCCGCGGAGTCGTCTGAGCCTCCGTGTCCAGAGTTTCTGCTGGGCGTCCCTTGCATGGGCGTGGCTGACTGTCCACATGGCTCATCTGTCTCCAGCCCGTCCAGCAGGTGGCTGATACAGTGCGACCAAAAGCCCCCTCCCTGAATCACATAGTTACTCTCTGGCTGGCCCGAGGCCCCTGGGTAAGCAGAGGTGCTTTATCAGACAGGGTATTCTGGGGCTTAGGAGGTTATGTCCCAGGGGCTGAGGGCACA